GATATTATAGATATATACTGTATATATTGCAAGGCTTTTACAGGAATTGTAGCAGAGTAGAGCTGCGACTGTAGAAATGATTGATGGATTGTAGATACCTCCTATGAATTTGGCCATATGGTCTACAGTAACTGAATTTTTCTGCAAAATTCTTGTGTTAAACATATTGATTAAAGCTAGGGAACTAGTTAAGATCCCCTGGCATGGGGCTATCTTGGCTCAGTCTGTCAGCACATCATTACCATAGTACATATAAAACTGGTACCAAAATCAGTATGATGATATAAAAAATCGGAAATATTTTATACATTTATCTATTAGTGGAACAAAATGGCAACTACCATTTGCCTACAAAGGACACAGATATGAAAATGAACAAATGCAAATGTTTGTCTGTGTATGTGTGTTACATATACAGTATATAATTAATATACAATTTTTTTTGTTTATGGCATAGTCATAGAAATGTATGCTCAGAATAATACAAGCTTTGATGTAATAGCATTCCAAGATGGATCTCAATCATAGACTATTGTGCTCCATTTCCCCTACATGTCACTCACGGTATACCTGCTCTTTTCTTTCAGTTACCCTCTTGGATTCCAGGTCTGTTCAGGGAGAGCTTGGCTGGATAGCCAGTCCTGTAGAAGTAGGGGTAAGTTCTTGATTTGGTACAATTAAGAGACTCTAATGGGATGATTGGCTCTTTATACCGATTTCAGAAAGGCTCATTTTTGGTTGATTGTGCGGAGAGGCTTATTACTTCTGTGGCCCACCATATCAATTACCTTTTGTGGGCCTGAAACTTAATATTTTAGGGGGATAACTATTACGGATTGACTGACAAGTAAAAGTAAAAAAAGAAAAAAATGTAAATTGTTTTCTTTTTAGTAAAAATAAGATGAATGTGAATACCTGACAAAAATAGGTAATAGAATAACTTTGTGAGGCAATGAGAATTTGTTACTATTTTGTATAATTAGAGATCCATTGTGGGGAATCAAAGGCCATCAATTCAAGGAACAGTGCTGAGCTGCAACCTGTAGGAACCGTCCAGCTTATATGTTACTTGGTGCTGCCGATCTTTTCTTTATACTGATACGAAAACACAGTTTGTGTATATTATGTAGCTGTGCTTTTGAAGGCTAGAGGAAGATGGTTTTTACTGTGCACGTTGGATTTATTCAATTTCTTAAGCATTACTCTGTAATTTGGTGGTAAAAATACCTTAGCAGTGAAGGTGTAAGCTATTTAACCAATGTACAGTATATGTGAACAGAACAAAGTTTAATAATTCTAAGTATACTCCTGAAATGCCATGGCATTTGGAGAGCGTTTATCTCAGCTTTGCTCCAAAGCAAATCATGCAAAATGTACAGCACTGGTCATTTCAGGGCACTCACATATTTCATAGAAGGCAAGGCAGATCACATTGCATGAAGCAGTGGCATCAGTGTTGGACTTTTAAGATAACATGTCAACTGATGTCACTGCCATGTACATGCCAGTGACATAGGTAAAGACGCCATGCAGACATCATATAGGTATGATTGCCATTGCAGTGGTACTTTTTGTGATCTGCACGTATTTGTAAAATAATGATTTGCTTTTCAGAGAATCTCCCTTCACTTAGAACGTGCATTGTTCTACCCAGCAAGGAATACATTACCTGGGGCAGGCAAAGCAGACTGATATGCATGAAATACTCAGTCACTTCTGTCACTGCTTGTGCCTCTAGGCCTAGTATGTGATAGAAATACCCTGAAAATAAGAACAAAAATATATAAGGAGCTCCAGTTTCTTACAGCTTTAAGGACATCTCAAGATATTTTAATAGTCATAGCAGATGCCCACATCAGAAGAATCAGGATGTCCAACTGGCACCTGAACCTGGCTTATATTTACCTCGGGCCACTGCAGTGGTTGGTGTTCATCACAATTCCCCAGCCTATGGAACTTTTGTTCAGACGTAGCCGCCCTTATCCCCACACAGTGGCTGTACAATGGGACAATCGCTCATTCTGTTTGCCAAGGGCAAGAAGTATAGTGGAAACAGTCTAACAATGCAGTATGGGTTTACCTTGAGGAACATAATACCTGCAAAAATCTTCTCATCACCAACTATGTAAGCCGTATAATAGTTTAATTCAGGGGGTGGACAAATTAATATGGAATCTGGGAACCAGTCTGTCCAATCCGGGAACCAGCAGGAATTTTATAGGAGCCAGCTCCATTGACACAACTTGAGAAAATCTTAAAAGTTAAGTCATTTTTAGGGAGCATTGGCTACCCCACTTTTGGGATTTTTCCAGCCCTGCTTTAATTGCCCCACATGAAATTCCTTTTTTAATAGCAGCAGTAAGGGTCACCATAGACATTACAATCTGACCATACAACAGGGGTCGACGGGAGCCAGTCTGACCAATCCAGGAGACAGCAGATTTTTTTAAGGAGCCAGCTCCATTGAGAGCAGCTAGAGACAACTTTAAAAGTTAGGCACCAGCTGTAATTTTTAAGGAACATTGGCTAGCTGACTTCTGGGATTTGTCCAGCCCTACCGTACAACCTTTGTATACTCAACTTTAGAGTTACAAAAATGATGCAATATGAGGACCAATCTAAACAATCCTATCAATTTGTATCCAGCCATACAGGCCCTTGCACTACAGTTTTGGTAGCTCTAAAGTAAATTGTACAATCAGATTTTAACGTGTGTGGTGAGCTTAGGGCGAATTTTACCAACGAGATCCTATAGATCTTCATAGTAGAAACATAATCTTTGGTTGTTGCATTAGATCTTCTAATGGAAGTTTTTTGTGCTAAACAATTCTACACTTTTGCATTGTGCTGACTATCAGTAATCCCCTGTTTTGATTGTATGAATAGAGGCTTCATAGAATACATACATATACATTTGTTTTTGTCTTCTTTTGTTCAGTCAATTTTATATTTCAGCTGTCTGTTGACTTCATTGAAGTCATTATACGAGTTTGTTTATTACAAATGCCATTATAAAACATTGCACTGATGTTTGTGACACATACTGTGCACATCTCCACCATCCCACAGCCAGAGAATGTATTGCTGCGTTCTGTTTGCTCTGTGTTTTTAAACCTTTATTTATAAATAGACATATAAGTTTGACATTGACTTATAGGTCGACATAATATGAATGTCTTGCATTACTAGTAATATTGAGACTGTCAGGTCTGCAGTAATGTTTAAGTGATGCTGATTTCAGTTGCCACTTTTCTGTCTCCCTATGGACGTGACAGTTTTCTCCAAGCCCAGCGAAAGCATGCATGCTATTTTTATACTGCTGGTGAAAAATTTAATAGTACATGGACAGTCAGGCATCCACGGTAGACTGCATTTTCTTTTACGATGCACATCACGGCTACTTCTTTGATCTGTATTTTACTATGAATATTTAAATAAAGGACATTTTACTTAGGAGGTACACATATCCATATACATAGCTGTGTATGGAAGAAAAGAGCAAATCCAGCTGATGACACTTAGATTTGGTGGTAAAGGTTAATTCATATACATTAAGGTTATGAGGATGTGACCTTATTAGAATCAGATTGCTTGATATGAACAGCTAAGGGTCTTATGGCTTTTTATTATTGACTGCCTCTGGCAAATATCATATCTACTCTGTGGCCAACAGGAGGCAGGAGTATTTGATTCTGTTGCCAGCTAAACTGGCAACTATGTATATGGTATTGTTTAGAAATTGTAGCTTTTTATATATTTTATATTGTAACATTATTTTGTGCGGTTGCACTAGTCTGATGTTGCTTTGATTCTGAAAGCTGTGCTTCATTTACCTCTGCAGCCGAGCTTAAAAATTACTAGCAGTCTTTTCCTAAAGTGTTTATTTGGACTTGCTTTATATACAAAGTGCAATGATCTTTTGCAAACAACAGTAAACTACATCCAACCAATCAGAAATAATCTTTCTCAAAATTTACATTAAGCAAACTTTAGTCTTCTGTGGGTGAGTGGACATTAAACATCATCACTGATCTGTGCATTACTAGGTATTAGGTCTATATATCACAATAGTGAATCGCTTATATATTTTAATGGTGCGATTGTAGTTTTAAAAACGAAATTTAGATTTTTTTGTTTTGTTTTATTACAGTGGGAAGAAGTGAGTATCATGGATGAGAAGAACACTCCTATACGGACCTATCAGGTCTGCAACGTAATGGAATCAAGCCAGAACAACTGGCTACGGACTGACTGGATCCCCCGAAGTGGGGCACAGAGGGTGTACGTTGAAATTAAGTTTACATTAAGGGACTGTAATAGCTTGCCTGGTGTGATGGGAACTTGCAAGGAGACCTTTAATCTCTACTATTATGAATCAAACAGCGATAAGGAGCGCTTTATCCGTGAAGCCCAGTTTGTCAAAATTGACACTATAGCTGCTGATGAAAGCTTCACCCAAGTGGACATTGGAGACCGAATAATAAAGCTCAATACAGAGGTCAGGGATGTAGGTCCACTCAGCAAGAAAGGTTTCTACCTGGCTTTCCAGGATGTGGGAGCATGTATTGCCCTTGTCTCCGTCCGTATTTTCTACAAAAAATGTCCATTAACTGTTCGGAACCTGGCCCAGTTCCCCGACACCATCACAGGTTCTGACACCTCTTCATTGGTGGAAGTCAGGGGATCGTGTGTCAATAACTCTGAGGAGAAAGACGTGCCTAAAATGTACTGTGGAGCCGATGGCGAGTGGCTGGTGCCTATTGGGAACTGCCTATGTAATGCCGGGTATGAAGAGCGCAATGGTGGTTGTCAAGGTAAGAGCCTAAACTGTATGTTTCCATCTGGTGTATAATAGTGTAATTGAAAGTGTCATAAGATGAATGGAAACAAGCCATTAATTAGCAGATCTCTTGGGAGGGCTGTTGACAGAAGGGTTGCACACACAAGGCCAAGAGGTCCAGGTGGCAGGGCTGGCACAAGGCATAACTTGAACAAATGGCATGGCAGAAGGCAGGGAGACATATTCAGAGGCTGGCTCTGCACAGATGACAGTGAATTCACTATCTTCACATCCAGTAGGGCCTAAACGTAGCAAGGGGAAATCTAGGACCCATGTATCAATTACTGTTTTCTAGAACATCTTTTTTTGGTCTCATTTTAATGATTATGTGTAGCTTTCATGTGAGAAGCAGCACTGTTTCGAGTAGTCTGCTGAACCTTAAATGGGAAAATATTTTAATAGAATTTAGCAATGGTAAAAGTTTACGAGATTTTTATTAACTCCAAATGCTTAGCAGAGATCTAAAACATTTGCTTAGAAGACTGACGCTATAACATACTGCATCACACATTTAATTTGTATTGCTAAATACAATAGTACATTCCAAATGTTTGTTTAAAGAAGTTACTGTTCTGTGAATTGTGCTAAACTTGTGGGTGTTGGAATGACAATGTATTGCTTTGCTAAACATTCCTCAATTACAAAAATTTTAAAAATATGTTAGCTTGAAATTATTAGATGTTTACTTAGATTTTGTGTAAACATTTAAATGATATTGATTTACTACTTTCTATAGCGATATGGTCATGCGAGAAACCGGAGATAGTAAGAAGAAGAGTAGGTCGTAGTGACTTTGGCTTATGGCCTTTAAGTGCACACATTTGTAATTGTGTATATGTGTGCTTAGCACAGTAGCAGCCTGTGTGTGATACACCTGAAAAGACCCTTGTCTTCAGTTCACGGCAATATGTATCTTGGCTCCAGGGCTGCTCTGTACTGGAGTCTAGACACTTGCATAAGGCCTTGTTTTATGGCTTCTAGAGTTGGACCTGTCTAAGAGCAGGGCAATCCATTTCCTATTCCGTTTTCTCAGTGGTAAATTAGGCTGCATTGTTTTTGGCACAGTGGCTGGCAGCTCACACTACTGGTTGCAGTTCCTGAGAGGCCTAACCTTGGCTTGTGGTGTTAGGATGGCGCAACTTTATTTGTTGAACAAAATTACACAGGAATAAATAAATCCTTCTTTTGGCCAAGCTACTGACTGGTAAAGAGAAAGAAACTTTCTAAGAAGCAACAGGTTGTCTGTGATCTGTTTAACTGAAAGAACTGTGCAGGCTCTTATAAGCTTTGGCACTTCTTTGTGGCCCATAGCACCATAATCCCAGCACAGGTCTTTTAGCACATTACTTCAGGTTCAGCTCTTCTGTGAAGAATTTATGGCACCAGCCTCAAATTGATCCAGGCTGCAAAGCCTTTGTCAGATGGTGTCCTGTGGAAGGAGTTAATTAGTAGCCACACAAAAGTGCCCTTAAAGAAGGCCAATTAAACATTTCTAACTGTGATGCAAGTGTGGGTAGTGTGGGTATATATATATATACATATATATATACATATACATACAGTATATACACACATTTATGTGTTAATATACACATGCTCGGTAATGTAATGGGTTATTGAATACGCTGGCATTTATTTTGCTCATTCCAACTTCACAACTTTTTTGTGCTTTGTTGCCTTTTGTCTTATGTGGTCAGCATCTGGCATACTGACTACCATTTGTCTGGCTGTACACCATTGCTGACCTAGCTGATACACTCCTTCATGTCAGGCTTCAGTGCTAGTTATTAAATTATCTCCATTGATCAAGTCTGTTGGGATCACCCTCTTCAGTGTCCAGTTTGGACTCAGATCTTATATAGATAAGAGCTTTGGGCGTGGATTCGAGTAAAATTAATTGTCCCTTTGAGAGGATAAGAAAGATGCACCAGCCTGTAGGTTGCGACCCCTGCCAGCAGGTTGTTCCTTGATTGTTCTTAGAATGTTGGATCTTAGCAGACTGAAGACAAGAGGGAGGTCCTGAGGTCACTCAATCCCTCATCTATCTTCCTCCTGTCATTCCCTAGTCACTGGCCAAGATTGATTAAGTTCTTCAGTTTGACAAAGACCTGCTGAGTATCACTGGACAAGGGTCAGGGACAGGGAATCTCCAACCTTGAAGGCTTATAAAAGCAACTCCATTGGCACAGCATAGTCAGCAATTCATTGATTACAGGTTACACATCATTTTTCTGGGTGATGATTAGTTGATTGGAAAGATAATCATCATGTTTGGTGTAATTATCCTTATAAATAGTTATCATTATTATGTCCTGTACACACCCACATGAAATACATGCACAACAAGCACTTATGGTAATGAGAAACATCTGTGAAATATATGCTTATATTTAGAAGTTGGGCTTGGCATTACATTTGGAGGATGGTAATACAATCTGCAACTCAGGTTACTAAAAGTGTGTTGAAAATGTAACTCTGTATGCTTTCATTAATGGAAAAGATAATTGCCAACATAATCATGCCCAATTTTTGTTTCTAATTAAAATATGTATGCTTTAAAGATAAATACCCTATGTAGTATTCACAGTAGGCGTATTAAGGCCCCACCATACATGCGCGCACACACATGCACATGGTATCTTACTATTAATAAAATGAACCCAGCTAACATCTTGCGCAAGATTGAAAATCTGAGGAAGGCTGATAGTTTATGGCAATATCTTCACTTTGTCCTTGTCACTTTTTAGGACATTGATGCTTGATAATAATACCATAACCATTAGGGATGCACAGATACTTTTCGAGTACCAGTGCAGATACTTGGCATTTTCATGAGAACTACCAAGGTTGCAGAGGTTGCAGCTGAGACCTGGCTCTGGCGCTCCACCACTGTTCTGAAATCATTAGTCTGTATTGTTTTAGAAAAACTGTCACATGACAATAAACAAACTTGTATCAGTACTCGTACTTGTAAGTACTCGGCAAGTACCAGTACTCGTACTCGCAAAACTGGTATCTGTGCATCCCTATATTTATATTTATAAAAACAAAATCGTACATTAAAACAGAGATGTACAAATCCCAGGAGCTCCGTGTGCTCCTTACAAATGACAGCTGCCTCCTAATTTTTGAATTTTTCTCTAGTGTAGTCATGGAGCTCAAACGTATCGGTACATGTACTTGTACTTGTACCTAGTACTGTACTTGATATCTGTGCAACCCGATAAACCATGAACTGATACTATTTTAGTTTTTTTCGCATATCATACCATGTTTTTATTCCCTACAACCAACTTGATCTCCATAGCTTTGGTATCTAGCATGTATTATAGGGTCTAGTTATCTAGACAGATAACAACTTAGACCTGTAGCTGATTATTATTAATACACTTTTGGTAATTTTAACCAAATGTCCTATGTTCTTGTTTACCAATGGTGCTGAGGCTTTAGTAGGGTAAACAAACATCTGTGTTGCCCATGATAAACAATAAGAATCTACTGATCATTCTGTATGATCCCTGTAGTGTAGAGCGGTCGTCACGAGTAACACAGACACTTTCCTTGTCTCCATTTAGGTATCACCTCCAGTATCTCAGCTTATGCCTAAGGAATCTTAGTGCTTACTAGTTGTCTTGGCCACAATTTTCCAAAGAACAGCAGGTGAATAATATTTAGATTTGCAAACAATAATTTGCATAACTACTTGATCACATCATGAATATTCAGCAGTCTTATCTCCCCACTCTCAAAGCTGCCTGGGAAACCATGTTTGCTTACTAGGAAGTATCTCCTCCTGCCTTTGACTCTTCCGCTCTCCCTCGTGAATGGAGATTGTCAGCTGTCTTAAAAGCATTTCCTATTCTTCTGTTGCATTGCTCATTTACATATTTTATATGATTTATTGTACATTGTACAGATCCCCCCCCCCCTCCCACCACTGCACATCTGAACGTGTACATTTCTAAAAAGGGATGAAAATAACACGGGACTAGAACCGCTCTCTGTAGTTTCTAAAGGCCCTTCTGACCTTGATCTGATGCAAATATATTCTTCCTTTCTATTTGCCCTAAGTTTAGGACTAAGTGAGGAATCCTCTCTGCTCATTTTGTTTCTGACTCCCACCCACCTCCTGTGAGTTTCTTTTTCTTGGTGGGCCTTACAATGGGCTGTACCTAGTGGGCCTGCTTTATATTTTGTTTATAGGCCTGCAGGACTTTGTCGGGGGATTTTCTGCTGGACGGAGGGAGGATTGTGGGGGCTTGCATTTATTCACTTTTTAATAAGGGGCTATCCGCAGGATAAACAGTAATTAGGACGCCAAACAGACTCGCTGAGGCAATCTCAGTTTTTTATTCTTATCAGCATGAAGTCTTGGCTCACGGTTTCAGAACAGTTCATTGGCGGAATCACAGGCAGGTTTATAACAATATTGGCACAACTGGGTGCCCCACTTTAAGGTGAGAGCTTGGTATGACACACATCTTTTTGATGATGTTTTCACTCACTCAGCATACATCATCTCTCATGTGTTTTAAAGGCAGTAAATGTGTCTGGTTTACCCTCAGTGGACAGCACACACCTTCATGATGTAATCATGATTGATCTGTACCATAAAGACCACTTACGGTACTTCCTACGGAAGTACATCCAAGATCAGTTGATTCAATGCATGACCCCTCATACAGCATTTCTGTAGTATATATGAGTGTTGAGAGTTTACATTTTGCATGTATTACTCAACATACAGCCTTAAATCACTTGGGAACAAATAACCCCTTGAAGCTGGCACATATTGCTTGGACTAGTAGTTTCCGAACAGCTCAAAGGCCACAAGGTGCCTATTGACTCAGCTTCACCTTCATGCAGATATTTTTTGGTCAAATTATTGCAGGAGAAACTTCCCTTCATTTATTTGTTTTAAGCTTTATAACCAATTAGGAAATGTATAATTTAGTAGCTTGTTGTTTCATTCAA